TTATATTACTATTTTCTGGAACAATAACTTTTGGATAGTGTGATTTTTGTAACTCTTATGAGTAACTGTAAACATTTATTTGCAGGAATAAACAGCTGGGTAGCTGTATAACATATACTGTGTAAATCAGAAATGAATGGGCTTACAACAAAGTGCATACATCAAAGTAAAAGGATACAATCTCTGCAGCAAGCTGTACTGGGGAGAAAAGGTGCAAAGGGCTGAAAAATAAATAGTGAACACCTGTGCTGAATAAATTAACCAGCTGGCTGGTAATTTTTCATTTGATTCATCTGAAAGGGCGACTGTTACAAGGCATTAATAAGACATTCACTTCGAGGCATTCTTTTGTTACTACCATTAATTAATGAGCAATACTAGATAATATCAGAATTTATACCCCTTAAATTCTCAGGCTTATATATAATTTTTGGCAGTTAGTAAAAAATGCATTATATAAGTAGTATTCAGCAGTTGCAATGAGGTAAAATTATCTCAAAAATATTGTTATACTGTATTACAAATGGCCTTTGAAATTCAAATTAGCAATATAAATGACCTTAAATTTCATTTGTGAAATCTGTTTTATTGAAAGTTTTTATAAGAACTAATGATACAGATTTTCCCTTTATATGTTAAAATTATAGTATCATTTTAGGACTCTAAAATTTCCTTTGAGTGCATATAATCCAGTGACATTCATTTTCAACTGGCAAACGTGTTTTTATAGTATGCTTTTCAAATATTTAAAAATTAATAAAATTGAGTTATTATTTTTTCTGAAGTTTGCTTCAAAAAGTTGAATTATCTTTTTTAAAGAATTTTAAGACACCAATATTGTTTTAAATTTGATTTTTTTTTAAAAAAAATGATATTTTATTGGTTATGCTATTACAGTTGTCCCGATTTTTTTCCCTTTGTTTGCCTTCACCCAGCACACCCTACTCCCTCAGGCCATTCCCTCCATCAGTGTTGATGTCCATGGGCCATGCATATAAGTTCTTTGGCTACTCCATTTTCTATCCTGTATGGAAAGATAAATGAACAAAATTTTGCTTACTTAGGAATGGAGTGGAGTTTAAGTTTTTGAAGTTTTCTGGTACCTTTATGTCTTCTACTTAGGTATTAGATTCAACTTTGACAGAACTTCAAAAGTATTGTGGTGGTTGTTAATGGAAAGTAAGGCCCCTGCTGTATTTTTAGTGTGTACATTTTATGTAGTGCTAGGGATTTCACCGAATTCTGATGTTGAGAACAGTAAACTGAATAGCTTATGCATGTCAGATGAATTCACAAAGAGTAACTTCTTTCCTCACATTGACACTTTTATTTAAGTATTTTGGCTTTTAGCTTTCAGATTGTCCAACATTGGTTAGTGCATTCCATTCACTCTGCAAAGTCCCCTTTCTCAGAATGCAATGGAGATAGCCAATGACTAAATCAATCTCCATGATGTCATCATTTTGGTCTATAATAAGACAAGTTGCCATATTCTGCCTTATCTGTAAAGTAAAATGAATTATCCTGTCATCTCTCAGCCTTATCTTTATGCATGGAACTTTTGCTCAAAGTTGTTACTTTAGATCCCTCATGCGACACACTTTGGTTTGTTAGTTTTCAAAATAGTGAAAGTGGATACGGAGCACGTACAATTTTGTGGAGTATATACACATCAAGTTTCATATCATCACCCTTCATCCTGAATGTCACTGGTGCTGTTGACAGTTATGTGGTCAGAGAACTTTCAGTGAGTCTCAGAAAACCTAGGTGCTCCTATTTTGCATTGCTCATTGTTAACTGGGGGACATTTTATAGTATCTTCCATTTGATTAATACTTTATGTTTGAGTAAGCTTTTAATATTTATACAATACTTTTCATATATGGTAGCTCATTTATTTTACAACAGCCTCATGAAAGGTCAGGCACACAGAGTGATCTCTGTTTTGTACACTGGGAACCTGAGACATTGCGAGTTGCCTAATACCTACATCCAGAACTTTCCTGACAGTAGTTTCCGAGACCCGAAAAGTGTTGTAACATTAATAATGTCAAGTTCGTTCTCATTATATTTAATTAAAATTACTAGGTTATAACACTAAAAATACCATGGCATTTTATTTCTTGACATTTTTAATAAGTTATTTTATTCTTTCATCCTACCCTTTTCATTGCAATATTTATTGTATTAATTTTAATAAGGCCCTCTTTCAGTGAACCAAGACTTGTGAGTCCACCATTGACTGATTTTTCCTGGCCTAATTTTTTGTCTTTTCTACAAATAACTTTAATAATTTACACACACAAACCATTTATTCCCAGAGCATCTCTTAGATAGCATGGTTACTGAGCAGAGCGGCAGGTGTTATGAGGAAAACACAAGAGGACATGCTAGGGTCTTCCCTCAAGAATGAAAGTATGATTCAAAATATAAAGTATGTCCTGGACAAACAGATGACTGTGAAAAAGGAACTGATAAACAGATGCAAGGTAAACTTCATGGGTGTATTATGGGGGCATGGAATAATAGAATGATGAGAATGGTTGAGTTAGGGATGAGTTGTTCGATGTGAAATTAAACTTTTTCTTAGAGTAAATGTATTGTTGAAGCATGTCCTTATTTAGGGATGGTGCAGTTATGATGTTACGGTTTATAGAAAGACTGTCCCAGAATAAACAAGTGATATGGGCCCAAACCCAGAGATGAGAGTTTGGTAAATCAGGAAGTGGAGATGCTGTGTTGGAGGCAGGAGCAATGAGACTGGAAGATAGTAGGTAAAGGAGGTGATTTGTTTTAGAGTTATGAATGGGAAGATTTTATGTGGTAGGATTTAGATTTTTTTAAACATTTTTGGATTTTATTTTTTTACTAAATGTATTGGGGTGATATTGGTTAATAGTATCATATAGGTTTCAAAATGCACATTTGTATGATACATGGTCTATATATTGCATTGTGTGCCTATCACCCAAGGTCAAATCATCTCCATCACCATATATTTGTTTCCCTTTACTCTTTTTTTTTTAAAGGGACTTATCTAAGGCTTTTTTTTAAGATTTTATTTATTTATTCATCTTTAGAGGGGAAGGGAAGGAGAGAGGGAGAGAAACATCAATGTATGGTTGCCTTTCGTGCGTCCCCTGCTGGAAACTGGCCTGCAGGGAACCAGCCTGCAACCCTGGCCTGTGCCCCGACCAGGAATCGAACCGCGACTGTCTGGTTCACAGGCCCACGCTCAATCCACTGAGCTACACCAGCCAGGGCCTTCCCTTTACTCTTTACTACCCTACCCGCTCCTTCCCTCTGGTCACCACTGCAATGCTGTCTGTGTCTGTGAGTTTCAGTTTTATATCCCACATATGAGTGAAATCATATGGTTCCTAACTCTTTGTGCCTGACTTATTTTGCTCAGCATGGTATTCTCACAATCCATCCATGCCATTGCAAATGGTAGTATTTTATCCTTTCTGTGGTTGAGTAATACTGCATTGTGCATATGTATGTATCATATCCTCTTTATCTGATTAGATAAATGTCTATGGAAGGACACTTTGGTTGTTCCCATGTTTTGGCTACCATGAATAATGCTACAATGAAGATAGGGGTGCATATGGGTTTGTGGATGTATGTTTTCAAGTTTTTCAGGTAGATACCCAGAAGAGAGGTTGTTGGGTCATATGGTAACTCTGTTAATTTTTTTTGAGGAACCACCTTGGTGTTTTCCATGGTGGCTGTACCATTTAACATTCCCACCAGCAATGAACCAAGGTTCCTTTTTCTCCGCAACCTCTCCAACGCATATTATTACCTGTCTTGTTGACAATAGCCATTCTAACAGGTGTAAGCCACTGTTAGTTCTTGAGCAGTCAATTAGCAGATGCTTGCTTCCCCATGGCTCTGAGGTACAAGGCAGTTTTATTCCTCAGCAGTGCTGAGCAGCAGGGCAGCTGACTGAAAATGCAGGTTCTGTGGAGGATGAAACCTTGTGGAGAGCCCTGGCCATGTAGCTCAGTGGATTGAGTGCCAGCCTGCAAACCAAAGGGTCACTGGTTCGATTCCCAGTCAGGGCACATGCCTGAGTTGCAGGCCAGGTCCCCAGTAGGGGGTGTGTGTGTGAGAAGCAACCACACATTGATGTTTCTCTCCCTCTCTTTCTGCTTCCCTTCCCCTCTCTCTAGAAATAAGTAGATAAATAGTAAAATCTTTTTGAAAAAACCATCATGGAGACATACATTGATGCAGGAAGAGTAGATGTCAGAAAAGGGGACTGAGTGTTAACTCTAGTCATAACTGTGGAAATAGGGCTACCGGTAGAGTAATAGACACTGATACTTAAAGTACAGCAGGAAAGAATATAGAAATTGTGATAAACCAATTTCTACTTTCATGACAATTTTTTCTAGCTCTGTCTCACCCCCAATAATAATCATCTTTGATAACTTCCAGTGTTGGTCATTTGCTCTGTGCCTGATTCTTTGCATGTTATACTTTATTTGATCTTCAGGACAGTCTTGTGAGGAAGGTGGTATTAGCCACCTGTGGTTTCAAGGGATGATGGCTCTGTGTTACAGATCAGGTATCTGTCAGCGGGGATAAATAATTTGACTAAGTTCATGGAGTTTCCTAGTCATAGGGTGAGGGTTTGAACTGCTCTTTATTTATTCAGAAGGCTGTGGTTATAAACACTGTTTTGATTTGTTTCAAAAATACAGTTCCACTGTCTGCTTGAAATTCCCCAAAATGTACATGTGACCAGACTGCCTAACCCTGAACTGTTTGTGTATTTTTCAAATGTTAATTATGTTTCCTATTGTAAATATTAAAACCAGAGTAGATGAATATTTAATGTGTGGCTCACAGAAGGCAAAACATACAGAGAACTTGATAAGAGCAAGTGGCGTGAAGAAATAAAAATTGCCATTAAAAGTTAAAATGTAAAAGTGGGGCCAAGTACAGTGATCAAAAACATGGTGTTGATTATTATTATAATTTCTCATTAGTCAGGATTTACATGAAGGTGTCGAGGAGGCTGGCGCACTGCAGAAAAACCACGCCTCGGTGGATTTTGCCGGCTCCGCAGCAGCCACAGATTCGGCCTGCCCACCCCCGGCAGGCGAGTCATTAAGCACTGCGAGCTGTGAGCAGCCCACAGACCAGACTTCCAGCGCTGATTCTGAGATGGCCCTGGAAGTGCACGATGCTGAAGGGACAGGGGAGAACGTGAACCATTGTGATGATAACACCTGTGTGCTGTCAACTTTGGAGGAAACCAGTGAACCTGTAGCTGCAGCAGATGACATTGCAGAACCACCAAGGAAAAATAGGATTACGTACTCGCAAATTGTTAAAGAAGGCAGGAGGTTTAATATCGATTTGGTATCAAAGGTAAGGACCACTTTCACCCATGTTACCTGAGAACAACACTAATTTTCAAATGATTTTTATAAAAATTGGCCAATTTTAATCATTTTATCATCTGAAGTATAGAACATTTATTTTATAAAGATACGGTAGCCAACAGTTTTGAACTCAGTGAAATATCTTTAAATATAGGTTTAAAACATTAAAAATGCTCAGCACTAGATTTCAAGGATACTTTTGTACTGGAGTACAAGGTCCACCCTAATATTCTCCTACTGCATAAATATGAATTCTATCAAGAGAAAAATTTCAATCCTAATCACAGATTCAGGTTGTGTGTAGTCTATTAAGTGAACTTATTTTTAGCCCTTATATATAGTCACTGTTTCAACATTTGTGTGATAATGAACATTTTGAAAAAAACCCAATGCAGTTTTGGAAATCCTCTGTCCACATGTGAGTGCTTGGAGAATAAACTCGCAGTAGTGGGGCCAGGGAGGCTGGAAAGAATGCTGTTACCTTTGGTTATGTTCCTACACTTAACTCTAGTGTTAGGTCAGTGTCTTAGACTTGGGACGCTACAATGTTGCATTGGGTTTATTGAAACAAGGCTCATTTAGTGCAAAGAATACAAAACCACTAGGATAAAGGATAGTGGCCTTAAAGAGTTAAGCTATAGGGCAGAGTGAAAATACAAAGGAACAGATACCAAGTACCATTTGTTGAGGGCAAACAATGAGAATTGAAAAGAAGTAGGGGAGGGTAGTGAATACCATCAGGCTACCCACAAAACTAAGCTTTTCAATTTAATGTGCTCTCCTCAAGTTCTAAGTTACAGAGTAAGGAGAAGGACTAGTTGCATCCTCCTTACATTTTGCTGATACAATCCTGTATCCCTACACTGCTGTCTTTGAACTTGATCCCTGAAAATATGAGTATCTTTTTACTATCCATTGTCTTTTTCTATTACATAGCTCTCTGAGTCCGATTCAATTCTGCTTCTACTTGCACATTTCTGTCCTATCCATTCTCCTCCACCTTCTTCCCTTGACCCCTCTGCTACTCATTTGTGGGGTAGAAGTTTAATCATAGCTCACTAATAGTCCTCTTGTTCCCATGAGCAGGAAATGGTTTTAACAATATAAAAAAAAAAAAAAACTACTGGCTGTCCACTAACAAATAAGTTTTGTTTTGGAATTTTCATTTTAAGTTACTTGAAATGTGGAATGCTTTACTTAAATAAACAATGAAGTAAATAATGGTTAGGTATGAAGGCTAGTTCATAAAAGTCTCTAACCCTTAGGGTAACTGAAATACAGTATAAATCTTGCACAGGAAAATGGTAGGAGACGTTGCTTTTTCATGTTTGGAATTAGCATCGGAAATGATTTATTTGTATGAGAAAATGAAGGATGATTGTAGTGGAAGGGGAGAGAGTTAGGTACATGATAAGACATTTCAGGACACTCTGAAGGAGATTTCTGGGTATATCTATGAGTTTAATGGGTCATAATAGTGGTTCTGTTAGGGTAAATTAAAAGCAAAAATGTCGAGAAGCATCAAGGCAGGTAGGTGTACTTTGTTCTGCATAGTTTTCCTGGGCTCATGCACTTAAATAAACAATAATGATTTACTGTCCTCATCCTACAAAAGCAGGAGTAGCTAAAGAATGTATAACTATAGCAATACAAGAGGCTTATAATCGTGTTTTTAATGTTAGTCATTCAGAGAACATTTACTGAGTGCTGACTATGTGGAAAGCATTGTATTCTGTGGCATTGCGGCAATCAGTCATGCTTCGGAAATTTTATCTGTTCTAATAATTGCAACTATTACATCTAAGCTTAGGATTATTGCCAGATACCTATCACCTGCCCTACTTTTTCCTAAAGTTCAGTTTGCTGTCTCCATACTTAGCATTCTATCTGATGCTGTGTTTTACAGTTTACAAAACACATCTGTGCAGATAACCTATTAAAAGTGATCTTGTAGCCCAGGGTAAGTTAGTTACATAAAATACTTTATAGTGTTACACTGCTTACACTAATAGGCAAAATGATCAAGGACGAAGTTCTCACAGTTAAAACTTATTTCTAAAAATGTTCATATTCTTTCTAATTATGAAAGCAACATACCATATAAACCAAAAATTAGCCCTGGCTGGTGTAGTTCAGTGGATTGAGCGCGGGCCTGCGAACCACACGATCGTGGCTTGATTCCTAGTCAGGGCACATGCCTAGGTTGCAGGCCAGTTCCCAGCAGGGGACTCATGAGAGGCAACTACACATTGATGTTTCTCTCCTTCTCTCCTTCCCTTCCTCTCTAAAGATAAATAAATAAAATATTTTTTAAAAAGCAAAAATTATTATTAAGTCTAATTCCCATTCTTATAATCAAATCGAAGTCTTCTTTAGCCTCATACCACCATGAAATTGCTGTGGTAGATCACTCAGAGAGTGATGAAAAGGAGGCTTAAGCTTAAATACGGTAACAGAATTGTTATTCCTGAGCTTCAGACAAAATTTAGAAGAGTTTTAGCTGAAATTTGTTTTTACTCTTGAGTGATATTCTTTTTTTTTTAATATTTTATTTATTTATCTTTAGAGGGGAAAGGAAGGAGAGAGGGAGAGAAACATCAATGTATGGTTGCCTTTCTGTGTGTCCCCTGCTGGGAACTAGCCTGCAGGGAACTGGTCTGCAACCTAGGCATGTCCCCTGACTGGGAATTGAACCGCGATTGTCTGGTTCGCAGGCTCGCACTCAATCCACTGAGCTACACCAGCCAGGGCCTTGAGTGATATTCTAAATGCATTATTTTTAAAGCTGGCATTTAATCATAAGCTTTACTAGATTCTATTAAGTGTACATACATTTTATGTTTGATGCATTTGTGAAATGATTATGACCACTGAGGGATCTTTGAATCTCGAATATTTTTAAACAAATTAATTATTTGAAGCACCTTTTTAAATTATAACTACAGAAGTAAGACTTGGCGATATATTCTTAAACATGGGCTTACATCAGTTGTGTATTAGGCTGAAAGTAATGGAGTAACATGCCATAATTTCATCAGTGGAATTGGGTTAATTTTAAAATCTTTATTTTGTTCTGCATAATACTGTACTAATATAATAAATAGTTGATAAAATGCACCTGATAATTGGTTATCAGAAATTCTTTTTTTAAAATTAATTTTATTTAGTTATTTTTCAAGTACAGTTTTTTGTCTATTTCTCCCATCCCAGCCTCCCCCGCCCCTTGCTGCCCACCTCCCTCCCATTTCCACCCCCTTAGTTCTCGTCCCTGTGTCCTTCATATTTGTTCCTCCAAATCCCTCCCCCTTTTTCCCCTTAACTTCCCTTCCTTCTCCCCTCTGGTCTCTGAAATTCTTGATTGGCCTCTTGGATACTCATACTCATGATTTAGAGTTTGAAATTCCATTTTTTCTGTGAAGTAGAGCTAATTTTTAAAAAATTTCCTTCCTTATTTAAGGTGTAACATTTAAAATTTTAACTTTTATTGAGTTATTGCCACTTAAGGGTATCTCAATATAGAAAATAGCTAAATCTGTTGCATTTAACAGTATGGTTAGTAGTGCTGAATTTATTTTTGTCTCTCTCACACTGGTTATGAGAGATGGTGAAAGATTAAGTCAATTCCTCGCATGCATACTGGCAATACCGATCATCCTCACTTCTCAAGAAAGACATACCACAGGTCAATCTAGACTGTTGGTGTTACAGAGCGACCTTCTATGTTGACTCTTTCAAAGGAAATGTATAACCAGTATTTTTCTTGTTTCATCGACAAGGAGGCCCAGTGAGCTCCTTTCTTCTTAATGAGCACCTGGCCATAGACAAGGCTACAGTTCCTTATCCAAAACCTTAGGAGCCTGCTGTGTTCCAGTATTCAGATTTGAAAATATGTACTGTATTTTGCCATGTATGATGCCCCCAGATTTTTGAGGGCAAAATAAGGCTGCATATTATACATGGGTAATACTAATTCCATATCCATATAAATGTTTTTCAGTTCTTTTATTGATGTTCATGCATTAAAAGCATAGTTTAGAAAGCAATATCGATATCCGTATGCACAGTAATACCCTGGAATATGATCATCAGTTTTATGTATACATAAAAATTGAATTAAAAAAATTATAATGAAAGAGTTTTTTCCCTGAATGTTTGGACCAAAAACGTGGATGTGTGTTATACATGGACTGCATTATACACAGTCGAATGCAGTATGTTAGGTTAACAACAACAAAAAAATCCTCATAGGCACAGACTATAGTAAGGTGATCACTGGGAGGTAAGGGGATGGGGGAGGTAGGAGAGAGTAAAAGGGGATAAATGATGATGGATGTAGACTTGACTTGGGGAGGTAAACACAGCACAATACGAGGTATACAAATAATGTAGAATTATACACCTGAAACCTGTACAATTTAATTAGCCAGCATCACCCAGTAAATTCAATAAATATGTATTTTAGAAAGTAATACAGTGTACATGCTGGTATGCTGCATGTGATGTAACATCCTTAGCCGGGTCTGAGGAGGTTCTCTATAAATAAACATTAATATTTCTTCAGTCAGATGGATTAAGTGGGACAAAAGTAGAAGAGCCTTACTTATATCTTATATCCATTTGGGTCAGGTTTGGTTGCCAAACCAGTTACGTAAAAACTTTCAATTCCAGGACTTTTTGGATTTTGAATTTCAGATAATCAATTGTAAATCTGGAATATGTTATGAATTATAATATTAATAGGTTTAATGCTTTTTACAAATAATACAGTTGTACAGATTTTACAAATAATTCAAATTATAGCAACTACATGTCTGTATTTAGTGTTTATGAATTTTCCACAATTTTACCATGTATTTCATGCTATAAACTATTTTTCTCTGTACAGCTGCTGTATTCTCGAGGATTGCTAATTGATCTTCTAATCAAATCTAATGTCAGTCGCTATGCGGAGTTCAAAAATATTACCAGGATTCTTGCATTTCGAGAAGGAAGAGTGGAACAGGTACTATGCTGATCATCTGTTGTAACTGGATATGAGCTTAAGTGATGGTTTGCTTTGGAAGGATAAGCAAAATCAGATTATTTTTTCTCATACTGCAGAAAATCCCAGTCCTGTTTGATGATTTACAAATGTAAATAGTAAGAGATTGCTCAGCTAAAATGTGTTAATTTTCTCATGAGTTCCTCTGCAGCTTGATGCTAGTGTCGAGAAGGTGTTAATTTTGGGCAGCATTGCTGGATCTGAGCTGTCATTTGCTAGTTACAGGTGACATGCCATTGGCCTTTTAATGGCATAAGGAGCAAGTTGGCAAATTAAGTAGGGAGAGCTCACAAGTTAATGAGCTCTGAAGTCAACAGAGATGCCATTAGAACTGATGGAAGGGAACATGAAACAGCCTGACTGGAATGGAAATAATGATCTTGTTATAGTTTAAGGAAAACAGTGTACTTTGGAATCTTTGTTTATCACTAGGAAGCAGTTTCTTAACTTAAAATCACGTGTTTCAGGTTCCTTGTTCAAGAGCAGATGTCTTTAATAGCAAACAACTTACTATGGTAGAAAAGCGAATGCTAATGAAGTTTCTTACATTTTGTATGGAGTATGAGGAACATCCTGATGAATATAAAGGTATTGTTTTTTTTTTCATTGTGTTTTCCTATGATGATGATGATTATTTTTAAATATTTTATTAATTTATTTTTAGAGAGAGGAGAAGGGAGAGAGAATGGGAAAGAAACATCCACGTGTGGTTGCCTCTTGTGTGCCCCCCAGTGTGGGGGGGGGAGACCTGGCCAGCTACCCAGGCATGTGCCCTGACTGGGAATCAAACCAGTGACCCTATGGTTCACAGGTCCACTCTCGGTCCGCTGAGCTACATCAGCCAGGGCCTATTATTTGAGCTTTCTTATTTTAAAATGCTTTCTCTGATGTAGGGAGCCACTTATTTCTCTTATAAAACACATTCTTACTGTTCATTATTCACTATGTTAACCTTTAGCAACATGTAGCTATTTAAACTTGAATTAATTAAAATTAAATACAATTTAAAATTCAGTTCCTCAGTCACACTAGCCACATTTCAATCACTCAGTAGCCACATGTGGCTAGTAGCTATTGTGGCTACAGTGCAGGTATAGGACATTTTTGTCATTGAAGAAACGTTGTGCTGTGTGTTGTTTTGTTCTTGTTAATTAACTATTTTTGTCAACTGGTTCTTCATAGATGATACAGTAATTCACACCCTTCCCCTGAAATTTACAGGGAATATGTTCTAAGATCCCCAGTGGATTCCTGAAATCACAAATGGTTCTGAAACCTATATGCCCTAGGTTTTTTCCTATACCTATTTACACCTTATGGCTTCTCTTTGGCACATAAGAGTTTCTAGCATCACTATTCTTATTAAATATAATAAGAGTATCGCACTGCGGCACTGAGACATTAGATCTGCTAATTGCACTGTCTACAGAATGACTAACAGACAGCGTATGCAGCGTGACTATGCTGGGCCATCAGGTGACTCTTCTCCATGGCGGGATGGGATGGGGCGCATCAGAACAGTGCGAGATTTCATCATGCTACTCCGAAGTGTGTACAATTTAAAATTGATGAATTGCTTATTTTGGGAATTCTACATTTAATATTTTTGGACTTTGGTTGACTATAGGTAACTGAAATCATGAAAAATGGATTCTTGGATTATGGAGAAACTACTGTAGTTGTTTGCATTGTTCATTATTTCTTTTTAATCAGTAATTATGCTTGGAATATTGAATTATTCATTTTGATTGATTTAAAGAGACTCGATTGTGTGGTGGAAACTGCTGGATTAGGAGAAGATGTGGTTTCTGACTTGGCTTTGACCCATCTCACTGTGTGATCTGGGACCAGTTCCTTCTCAGTTTGTTGAAAACTGAATAGACCCCATTAGTAACAGAGCTTTACACTTTAAGGGGACTGGACTGGAAAAGTTATCCAAAATAACAAGATACTATCGACAATTCATTTATGAAGTTACAGTGAGAACTACAGCAGTACTTTTTTCACTAAATGTGCAGTCGATGTTTTGTTGAGTCGTACACTTGAGACCTGTATGCTTTTGTGAACCAGTGTCACCCCAGCAAATTCAATTTAAAACGTGTAGCTCTTACTCTTAAAACTGCAAGTCCATTAGATACTGCCAAATTCTTCTCCATAGTGGTATAAACATATTATCTCAGTAAATCTGTATAATTCTTATTAGTTTATATAAATAATTTCTATAAAGCTTTTTGTCTTTTGTCATGTAAATGTATTTCCTACCACTAACCATCCAATTACATTTTTTTCTTTTTTTGGTTTCAGGAAATAGTTTTTCACAGATCCCTTCTCTTTTGTTGTGATTATAAGGCAGTGAGACTGATTTTATTAGCCACACAGCAATTAGTTTTATTACTTTTCAGTCAGTTCATTGTTCCTAGTTTTAATAAGGAATATATGCTTCAGAAAGTCAGATATTACTCTGTCACTTTAATCAAAAGTTTACCATTTGCCATATTGAATATTTCAAAATACAATTATCAGCATTTATTCTGCACTTTTAATGATAAAATAAGACAATTGCCCGGAAAACTATTGTGGTGGTTAATGAGTTATTTAATACTTTTCTACTTTTATTGAAGTATTTTTTCCATTTATATATATTTTAGAGAGGGAGACAAATATCAATGTGTGGTTTCCTCTCATATGCCCCCTACTGGGGACCTGGCCTGGGGACCAACCCAGGCATGTACCCTGACTGGGAATCAAACCGGCAACCCTTTAGTTCACAGGCCTACGCTCAATCCACTGACCCACACCAGCCAGAGCACTTTACTACTTTTTAAATGTGTAAAATACTAAACAAAAGTTCATCATTTAAAGCTTAAAAATTGTGCCATCAATCTAGTCAGTATAATGATGTTTTTAGTTTTTGTCCCCCCAAAATTATTGCTCTCTGTCCAAAATGTAATATTATTCCCACTTATGTCCCTTTCCAAGGCTTTTAAACAGACCTGATATAATTTTTGTGTAGTGGTGTCAATTGAAGTTTAGTTTTGATGTTTAACAGAAAATTTCACCTTTCTTTTTCATAGCATATGAGGAGATGACATTTTCTGAATATTTAAAAACTCAAAAATTAACTCCCAACCTGCAATATTTTGTTCTACATTCCATTGCAATGACATCAGACACAGCCAGCAGTACCATAGATGGTCTCACAGCTACCAAAAACTTTCTGCACTGTCTTGGGCGGTATGGTAACACCCCGTTTTTGTTCCCTCTGTACGGTCAAGGGGAGCTCCCTCAGTGTTTCTGCAGGTAAGATTGCCATTGGTTCTCTTGTTTCTTGCTAATGTGGCACTTAAATGAGAGCTGACAATTAGACAAACATGAGATTTACTCAAGATTTAGTATTTGCATATGCTTTGTTGCTCTACTTTCTTATAATCTTTCTATCTGCCTACCTACTTACTACCTGCATGATGTATTCAGTTTGGCCTGTTTTTGAGCTTTAAAAATAGAATCATACTGTTAATTCTTTTTTCTACTCAATGTTATATTTAAAGTATCATCCTTCTTGTTTAAAATCATAGTTTATTTTCATTGTTATATATTGTGAATTGTATATTGTGATTATATCACAATTTATTTTTCATTTTCCTCATGATGGACACCACATAGTTCCAGTTTTTTCTTTGACTAATATATATCCTTTTATGTGTTTAGAATATACACACTCAAGGGTTTCTCTAGGATACATATTTAGGAATGGAATTCCTGAGCCATGGGATATATAAATGTTCATATCACATAGTGCCCAGGTATTTCTCCATGGAGTTCTATCACTGTATATTCCCTTAGCTGTATGTCAGAAATTTGCCTCTTTACCAACATTTGGAATTATCAGACTCTAATTTCTGTCAATCTGCCTCACATAAGATAGCCATTACATTGTATTTTTTTCATTTTATTTTTAAACTACAGTTTACATTCAGTATCATTTTGTATTAGATTTAGCTATACAGCATAGTGTATAGACAATTATATACTTTACAAAGTGACAAGTTGGTAATTACATCACATTGTATTTTTATTTTGCATTTCCTGGATTACTTATCAATGTCTTCTCATATGCTTATTGATTATTTGTTTTCTTTTCTGGGAAATGCTTTTAAGAATCTTTTGTCCATTTGTTTACTGGGCTGTTGTCCTTTTCTTATTAATTCGTAGGAGTTTTTATATATTCTGAACCGTAATCTTCTCTCAGTTATGTGTGTCATCTAGGTCTTGCCTTATAGTGTTTATGATGCATAGATATCAGTGATTAATATAGTCAAATATTGCTGTTTTCTTTTTCTTTTTAAGATTTTTTAAACTTATTTTTAGAAAGAGGGGAAGGGAGGGAGAAAGGGAAACATCAATGTGTGGTTGCCTGTCACACGCCCCCTACTGGGGACCTGGCCCACAACCCAGGCATGTGCTCTGACTGGGAATCAAACCAGCAATCCTTTGGTTTGCAGGCTGGCACTCAGTCCACTGAGCCACACCAGCCAGCCAGGGTGCAGTGTTTTTTTTTTTTTATATACATAATACTTTTGAGGTAATTAAGAATCTGGACTATGGAGATAGACTGCCTAGATTTTAATCTTGGCTCCTCCATGTATTACTCATGAACTCTTAAGCAAGTTTCACAGTCTCTGTTATGTTTTCAAAGAATCAATGTTTGGGTTTTTCGATCCTGTCTATTATATTGGATTAGTCAAAAGGTCTGCATATTTTTTCTTGTAAAATAAAAGACACATTTTTCATTTTCACCAATAACTTCATTGATTTGGATATTTTGAGTATGCTGGCTAGCTCCCCCATGGTAAAAGGTTGACTGTTCTCAATTAATGTCTTGATTTGATGGCTGTCAACTTCAACTGGTCTACTTGACTGTGGGGTATTGTCCAGTGAGAAATCTCCAGTGCAAAACTTTGCGATCCACTTTTGACATGTTCAATCCATCACAGCACCTTCTCCATACACTGTGCAAATCTTTTCTTTACATTTCAGTTGCATTTTTACCTTTCTGAAAATAATAAAACATAATATGCTGAAAACATTGCTTATTTTTTTATCTTCAATATTAAAATGACTATACAAAAAACTCACCAATTTTGATCAGTTGTTTTTAAATGTATGCTGATAAGACAGCTGTCACAATGCAATCTAAAAAAAAATGTTTCAAATGAAGTTAAAGACAACTAAGTGCTATTGGAGCCGTCTTGGGGAAAACAAACCAAATGAACTTTTTGGCCCACCCATTCGTTTTGAGTTCTAGTTTATTAACTTGACCTCTTTATTATCTCCTTTATTTTGCTTTCTTTGGGTTTGGTTCACTCATCCTTCCCACTTCCTGACCTTGCCAGTGCTGAGGCTGAATTCAAATGAGTTACAGTTACCTTTTTTTCTAACATAAGCATTTACACTGATAAAGTTCTTGTTACTGTTTTGAATTTTACATACTTATTCAAGTATTATTTTTGTTATCTTTTAGTCATATCTTAATTTCCATGATTATCTTTTTATTGACCATGAGTTGTTTTAAGGTGTTTTAAAAGAGTCAGTTTGTTTTATTCTTCTGCTCTTATCGTCTAATTTAATTGTATTCTGTCTAGAAAATATGTTTTTATGGTTCTAATTCTTTGAACTTTTATTTTATGACTTAGTATGTCCTGAATTTCCCCCATTTTTCCTTATGTGCTCAAGAGGAATGTGTTTATCTATTTGTTGGGTACAGGGTTCTCTCATGATTGGTCCTGGAGTGTAATAACAAGTCAAGCCTCGAATTGTAATTTTCAAAGTTTTATTGAGGTTTTTTCTTTGATCTGTCAAGAGACAAGTAATGTGTTTTGAAACCTCCCACTATGATGTTTGGTTTGTCAACTTATCCCTATAATTTTATCACTTTTTACCTTATATTTATTGAGGCAGCTTATTAAAGTCATAAATTTATAATTGTTTATCATCTTCCTGAATAATTTAATGTTTCACATTATCTGATGACTTTCTTCATCACCGGTAATGCATTTTTTCTTTTTTTAAAAAGATTTTACTTATTCATCTTTAGAGGGGGAAGGGAAGGAAAGGAGAGAGGGAGAGAAATATGGATGTATGGTTGCCTCTCATGCATCCCCTGCTGGGAACTGGCCTGCAGTCCAGGCATATGCGCTGACTGGGAATCAAACCCCAATCCCTTGGTTCGCAGGACCATGCTTGCATTTTTTCTTTAAGTCTGCTTTGATATTCAAATAGCTACTCCATCTTTTTAGTATTTGCCTGTTATATCTTCTTCATCACTTTATTTTTCAAATGTTCTGAATCTATATTTAGGGTTCTAAATAAATAACATATCACATCTTTTAATCCCATCAGATAGCTTTGGTCTGTTACCAAGCAGGATGAGTATCATGAAGAGAAGTCTGTTCCTTTTTTTCTGAAATATATTAAAAAGTTCCACTACTTTACTTTTGTTGGCAGTAACTGCTTTGTAGTTTTTCCATATATGAGAATAACTTTGGCCTTTTTGTTTTGAATGAAGATTTGCTAGGTGAACATGTTCAAGTTGGCAGTTCTTTTTTCAATGAAATATATTGGGGTGACATTGGTCAGTAGAAACACATAAAAGTCAGCCATACATTTCCGTAATGCAGCATCTGCATATCACATCCTGTGCTCACTACCCCTCTGTCAGTATGTTAAATATTTGTTCCACTGGTATTTGGGTTCCATTTTTGCTGTTAAAAAACTTGATGCCGGCCTAATTGTCATTTCTTTGTAAGTGATATCTCTTCTCTCTCAGGTTTCTTTTAAGATAGTTTGTCTTTGGTGTTCTGCATTTTCATTGCAGCGAATTTAGGTGTTGGTTTTTTGTGTGTATCCAGCTTGCTATAGGTTGATCCATCCAAAATTAACAAAATTAAACCATTTGACATACAATCCCATATGCTTCAAACAGCTGTATTGTATTTCCTCTATCTGTCGATTGTCATATATCATTTTGGAAAATTACCAGGCAGTATGTTTGCAATTGCTGTTTTTCCTCCACTATTCCTCTTCTCTCCTTTTAGGAACCCTAACCAGATACATTTTAGAATATAGCATTCTCTCTTTCATCCTTTTTAATCTTTGTTTTATGTGTCATAGTTTTTGTCTCCTTATCATTCTGGCTGCATTCTATATGTATTGCGATCTGTTTTTCAGTTTATTAATCTCCTTCACCTGTGACTAATCTGCAGTTTAATACTTTTACTCTTTACTTCAGTATTTTCATCTTTCATTCCCCCTCCATATCTTCCATATTGTTGTTTGATAGTCTCTTCTGCTTGTTCATTTCATTTATATATGTATATATTGCATTCTGCCATGTGTTTTTTCTTTTGATTTATGTTAATGGTTTATTTCCTTGTGCCTTGCTTATCTTTGATCGAGAGTTTATATTTCGTTGACTTTAATCTGTGGAAATCTAGGAACCCAAGTTAGGGATGCTTTCCTTCAAGGATTACTTGTGTTTGCTTCAGCCAGAAGACACTATGATTTTAAATCACTTCTACCCCTTCAGGGAATTTTTACTTAATGAAGGAGCCCCAGAAACAGCTCCCACACTGACATGGGCAACAAGACTTGGTTTTTATAATTGCACTATTTAAAGCTCAAAGCTTTGAATTCAGCCCTGGTTGGTATGGCTCAGTGGATTGAATGCTAGCTTGCAAACCAAAAGGTAGCCTTTTGCATTCCTGGTCAAGGCACGTGCCTGGGTTGCAGGCCAGGTCCCCAGTAGGGGGGCACGAGAGGTAACCACACATTGATGTTTCCTTCCCTCTCTTTCTCCCTCCCTTACCCTCTCTCTAAAAATAAAGAAATAAAATTTTCAAAAAGAAAAGCTTTGAATTCAGCTCAGGGTATGTTAATACTATGCTTGTATGTGTATGTGTGTTTGGGATTGGGGGGTTTGCTGTGGACATTTCTCTTATTTCCTTAAATCTCATCAGTACAACAAAAATTCTATTTAATGTAAGAAATAGGGTTTTTTTGGTTGTAACTGAAAGTCCCTTCATGCTTTCAGTCCAGTGTACAGCTAGAAGTAGGTATTCTCAAATCTGCATTTCTTAACAGTGTGATTTTTTGAATGGAGATGAAATTCTCATATATTTGAAAGCAACTTCATTCTGCATATGATAGGTCTGTGTATTTCCAGACAAGCTCTTTCTACTCTAATCCACTGCCCAAGTGGGGAGGGATAGGGAGTGTCGTATCTCCCAGGACCACAGGTCCTC